AGCTCTCTGTATCTGTGTGTGTGTGTGTGTGTGTGTGTAGAGAGAGAGATGCATCACAATGCAATAAATAGCAGATTTTTCTCTTTAGCATTTGACCCAATAAATGATGTATTTATCTAGCTAACATTTCTGAACCTTTTAAATTGAACAATTTACATGACAGCTGTAAAATCTGCCTAATAAACATAGAAAATACATCAAAGTAAACATTATATTTCTGTGTCAAAGACAGGAATGTTCTGAAGACATTCAATAGCCCACTATTAGTTTTAAAAAATAAAAGAAGAAAAATCCATACCATAAACTGCTACAGTGATTTGGTCCTGTTGGACAGTATTACCAGCTGAAGCCTGAACAGTAACAGTGTGACTTCCCTCCTTGGAGAAAGTGAAGGAATTTGCTCCATCCAGGTTCACAACAGCCTTAAATGCAGAGACAACACATGACATGTCTTGTACCATCATATGCATCACTGAATGGCACTGATAGAAAAGACAAGCTTACCTCTGTTTTGTTATCAAACCACCAGAAATAAGTGACTGTTCCCACATTACTTGGTCGCAGTGCTGTTGTGAAATTCACAGCCTTGTTCTTGACGACCACCGAAGGAGCCGCGAGCTGCACTTGCTCAAGTTGACCTTTAGAGAGAAAACATAAAGTTCAGAGTCACACGGTTTAGTTAAACACTGCTAAATTCAACACCTCCCTGGTGCTTATGTTTCAATAGATGCAATCTTTATAATGATATTCTGGCACAAACACAACCACCTGGACCCATTGAGGTCACTGGTGGACGTGTGTTTCTGCTGCAGGAGAGGTTGGAGGAGTGCATAGAGTTTATATATATTTTTATTAATATATTAATATTGATATTGTCACATTTGGAATTTATTATAATGAGCTTAAATGAATTTGGCTAATGGTCTTTTTTTGTTGTTGTTTGTTTGTTTACTATGTATATTGAAGAAACAAAGGATAGGTGTAAACTGCGCATGAACAGTATCAGTGAAGCATAAGGCGTTTACGTTTTCAACAAATCTGCACCCTAAAGAGACTATTTTTTATTATTATTATCATCATTATTAATAAAAACTAACAAACTACCTGACCAATTTGCAAGAAACTTGCAACAAGTAATTTTTACATGTGCAGTACATCTATAACCAACAGACTCTTGGAGTTGTCCTAAATCAAGATTGTCAGTACAGCTAACTGACCTTAGAAAACACATAAATGGTAACATTTTGTGTTAAATTTACAAATGCGGGGCTAAAGTTTGAAATAGTAGTAGCTTAGAGTCATCCCCAACACATACTCCGAGTGCTAACACATCTTTCAAGACCTTGTAATAATGCTCGATATTGGACTCAGTTAGATCAAAACGTCTCTGACTCCATTTATTCTAATCATAAGATGATTTTAGTTTAAAACTGGCATGAAAGGTGGTGGGCGATATGCATTTCTTCAAGGAGTGCCAGGCCTTCTATCTATGATTTACTAAGACAAAGGGTGTAGATAAGTTCGTAATATAGCCATGGTTTTAAATTTGCTATACCGTATAAATATACACTCTAATGATGCAAGAACAGGCGTGAACTCTTTCACACTGACTCTATCCTTGAAGATTGTGCATGTTTTAGCAACAAACACACAAAAAACTTCAATAAATAAAAGTTAACGCCAATGAGTTTTCCTTTGGACTCACAGGAAACGTGAAGGTAGAGAACGACCCTGTCGAGGCCGAGACTGTTGCTCGCTGTAGCTGAAACTTGGTAGATTCCAACTTTGCTGTAAACGTGCTTGACCCCGTCTTCGATGGAGCTTATGTTCACGTAAGAGATGGCGGTTCCGTCTCCGAAGTCCACCGTTATACTTGTCATGGAGCCAAGACCCTTTGGAGAAAAAAAAATGTATTCACGCAGGAATGTCAGCTGTTTGTCATCGCCCTTACTTACTCATAACAGAGTGCACTTTGCATCAAAGCAGCAAGAACGAGGCCGTCAAATGAATCATGTCAGTGCGTATTTATGTGACATGCTGGTGGTCCAGTCACTTTGCTTGGTGTGTGACGGCATCTTGATATAGGTTACGGTACATTAAATAAAACCACGCAGCGTGACTCTATATATGCAGCAGGGGTTGATGTTTGAAGCCAAGTGTGAAGGTGAAGTCCAGATATTTGCTTCTTTGAAGGACATTTTCTTTTATTCTTTTTAGATCATGACCTCTGTTGAATTTTGGACAAATACCACATCAAAGAGTTTGCTTTCAAGGTTTCTCACTAGAAAAGCAGCTATATTTCCAGATATGGTAGTTCATATTATAAAAAACTCTAAATCCTTTCCTAAACCTAACCAAGTCGTTTTTCTTACTAAGTAACGTGTAACATGTGCGAGAAATAGAATTGTTTATTCCTTGACAAGGTAGGATTTGGAACTGGTTTTAGGTTTGCGCCTTGATAATGAAATGCTTCTGATATCTTCTTCCTGTCACTTTTAAATTTAATTATTGTGAGTAGAAATATTATCTCCATTGTACAGCCTCTGCCTGCAGCAGTTTTATTCAGTATCTTTCACCCCAAGCACAAAGACATAAAAACATTTTCCCTTTTCTTGGTAAAAAGTGATGCACAATCAGTGGGGGATTGCAAATGTTTAAAAAAAAAAAAATCACACTATGTGAATTATTAAAATGCTCTGTCATCTCAAATTTTGGAATATGAAAGGAGATTTGCTATAAATACGTCCAAGAAGACAAGGCTTGGAAAAAAATAAACAAATAAAGGTGTTCAGTGAAAATTCGTCACTCAGTTTCTTTGGTAAATTTTGACCGTTTCATTTTTGCACCAAAAGGTAAACAGTAGTCATGATTTGATTTTAACCCAATAATTGTGTAATACAATATTATTAGATGAAATTGAAATAAATTAAACTCAAATTTAAATCTGACTGGTTTTTATTAAATAATTACCCACTGTTTCTGTGTCATACTTAAACAGCAGACTTTCAACCTTTATTTTGAAAAGTCCAACTTAAAAACTTGTCATTATGTTGGACAAAGAAAGATAAACCAGCAGAAATATCCAACAATTTTCAGTCAGGTCATCTGGACAGTTTCTTTTTTTGCTGAAACATTTCACCTTCCATCCAGAAGGCTTCATCAGTCAAGGAAACACACAACACAAAACTGATTCTTCCCCCAAACGGCTTACTCAGAAGTGGAACAAGCCAGTTATATTGGTGTTAAGATGGTCTCTGTTGCCAGCCCTCTTCCTCGTCGACAGTCATGTCAAACTGGTTCAAAACCAAAAAAGTCCATGCTCAATAATCCAGGTATACAATCCAACAATTGGTAACAATAATTGATTGTTGGATTCTATACCTGGATTATTGAGCATGGACTTTTTCAGCAGAAATATTGTTTCACTGATGGAACATTGGAAAACCATAACAGATCATGAGTTGACTTCTTAACTAAATGTTATCCACAATCAAACCAATGCTACAAAGAAAATAATCTCACGTTTTAAATCTAGTCATTTTTACAGATAATGAGCTCAAATCTGATGTGGTAGTAGTTGAGACTGATCCCTGACACATACGTTAAGAACTAACGAAGCAGCAAACAATACAGAATACAATTCTACTTTATTTTTTCATGTTTATGATTTTTTTTTTGTAACACACTCCAAAGTGTGGATCACTTTTTCTTCAATTAATGAAACATTCACCTCTTCCAGAAAGACCAAGAAGGTGACATTCCTCTCCAGCGTTGCTACAAGTGTTCCCTCGCTGGTGAAGAGCTGGAGGCCCCTGGGAGCCTGACTGGGACACTTGTGTTGCCTGGGGCCGTACCTCAGCACACTTCCCTCAGTGCAGTTGTTAGACAAAGCCTTGCGGTATCTGGGGTTGAATTAAACGACGCATATAAGTGCTGCATGTAGCATTGGTATAAGCTCAAATCAGAAAAAAAAGACAAATGTAGTCCTAATGCAAATTTAAAAAAAAATGCAAAGATGTTGTAGCATTTGCCTTAATGTCTGTACTGAGTACATGACAGCAACTTCATTTCATTTGTTAATATTTAGATCCACAATAGCACATTTGGGACAGAGGCCGTTTAGGACTCGTAATGAAAAACAGATGTTCATTCAAACTGCTAATGCCTGTGGGTGTTTGCAATCATGATTTTGTGCAAAAGCTGTTGAAGGGAAAGCAAAATCTGTGACTTTGAGGATCAAAGACTACTAGAGGATATTTAGTTTGTCAGGAAACATGTTGGTAAGTGGTTTATATGTTTAAACAGAATCCAGGTATCTCTTGTAAATGAGTCCTCGTGGCTCAATGGGAATAACCTGTTTAAATAAAGGTTGAATGAATGAATGGATGTTCCTCAAAGAAAAATGTGACGATATTTGGAATTTAGTTCCATTGTGCTGCTTGATCGAAATGAAAATCTTGAGAAATCCAAATTAATTTAGTGAATAAAGAGGATGGATGGAATCTGAATATGGATTTGATTTCTTCAGACCTCTGCACCACTACACCTTGAAAGCTGATATGAGCACACTGGGAATGATCTACTTTAGGACATGGTTTAAAGTTACAAAAAAATGGAACAATGATGGAAACTTTAACTTTGTTTTGGGCAAACAAAGCAACATAAAGAATTCTATAAAGGTATCCTCTATCATTCAGGACAAAATGAGACAACAAACTGAATCAAAGAGAACTGAATGTTGTTTTTGACTGATAAAGATGTTTTACTGTATTTTCCGGATTATACGTCACTCCGGAGTATAGGTCGCATCAGTCAAAAAATGCCTCATGAAGAGGAAAAAAACAATATATAAGTTGCGTCAGAGTATAAGTCGCATATATTTGGAAGTGTATTTCACAAAGTGCAAGAACAGACATTAAATCTGAAATAACAATAACAAACGTTCTGTCCATTGGGAGAGCCGGGACATTTCCCTGTGACCTGGCCATTTACCGGTGGCCTAGCCCGCTCAGTGGTCGCTGAGGGACTGGACTAAAGGCTGAATTCAGGACGTGCTTTATTATTTTAAATAAACAAGCCACTCTTGCCCAGTCTCACTCATGTCTCACGGAAGCTGCACTGTAGCAATGGGGAAAGACGTCCCCTTGCCCACTCCCTTATTTTTCTGAGTCTGTGTCTGTCACAGCAGAGACACACAGGTTGCACGCCCTCCTCCGTGGACTTGCACTCCCGTTGGTTATGTTTGGATGCAGCGCGCACACAATACATACCTGAGATCCTGAACAGGCTTCATTAACATAACAAGCCAATGAGTCTGACAAGCAAGTTACCATCCTTGGTGTCGCTTCTGAACAACTCCGCCAACTCCGGAGGAAGATGGGTGGTGTGTATAGGGGGTGGGGGTGATACAAGAGACCAACATATATTTGTCAAAAACCTAGAGGGACCTCTCGCGGCTGCAAACGGTACCGTTTAATCTTTGGTTCACGTCAGTATGAATGAATATTTAACGTTTCAGTCAAAAATCGCATCATGAATGGGGAAAAAAAATCTATAGAAGTCACATCAGACTATACTTCACAGGACTGGGCAAACTATGAAAAAACAGTGACTTATAATCTGGAAAATACGGTACTTCTTATTTATGGAGATCTTCTATTTGACTTTTAATCAACTTTCTAGAACTTCTCTGGGTTAAAAGTCATTTTCATGCTCTGAAAACATTAAAAGACAGGCTAGTTTTGCAAACTCTTTGTCTTTAAAAAAAATACTGCTACATATTCTGGACCAAAGGGAAAATCAATAACCAAAGATGAGGAGTAACAGCATTAGACAGTGACAAAATAAGCTTGAACTTTCCTAAAAAATATTTACTATAAAGTGTACATTGTGTTTGGTCACACTATTGGCAATACACAGTTTATATATATATATAAAAAAAAACTGGGTTTTGAACAGCATATATACTGAAATAGTTGGTCAAAGATGTTTTTGTTCAAAATACTAGATTTTAATAGATGTGTTGTTGGGGGACTTTCAGTGGCAATTTTAGCCTCTTTTTGGGGGTGCTCAAGCACCCCTAAATTTGAACTCAGCATCCCTGAAAAAAAAGTAAAACATATATATATATATATATATATATATATAATTTATTTATTTTAATTTTTTGGCTGGTTCTGTGTTGGGTTCTGTTTATTGCATTTATGATTAAATACAACAAAATCAGTTAACACTAACCTGATGTTGTACAAAGCGATTATTAGATTGTGCAATGCAAAGCAGAGCGATACGTCAGTAGCATCTTAGCTAGCGTGTCTGCATTACACGCCGCTAGCTTAGCACTACTTCTTGTTGTGCCGAGCTCTCTAAAATAGTTATGAATAAAGTGCTTGCTAATGTAGGTAAACACAGATGTTAACCTGTTAAAATACACCAGAATGCAGGAAACAACATCTATTTTATTCAAACATTTTTGGGGAGGACTCCCAGACCCTCCCCACCAGTCAGTGTGTCCCCCAACATTATGAATGCTTCTGACGCCAGTGGCCACCACGTTGTTCAAGCCAAGAGCTATTGTAAGCACTGGGGGCTAAGCACCCCTAAAGGTCATATGCTAGAATCGCCCCTGGGGACTTTTATGTAAAGGTCATGGATGTTTTCACTTGCTAATGTTAGATTAATATAGAACCATGTATGTGAAGTCACGAGAGTCTTTCTGTCTACTCAGAGAGGAGTCTGATAACTGATAACTTCTGACGCCTTCAACAACTGTGAGCTGTGAAGCAGAGGTCGTGTCTTGACCTCCCCGTCGCTGTTTGACAATGGGTATTTAAGCTTTTACTAACTTTTTGTCCATGGGCAGACCTTGGAACTAAGCAACATATACCGTATTGTATACCTGTTTTCAATGCTGCACTTCTTGCAAGAATTAAACATGGGTGGAAAAGACCTTCTCACATTCTTCTGTGTGGCTTATGTGATTAATGAGATGATGATAGGATGATTAAATAACCCAACACATGTCTTGAAAGGACGACGCTGGCTTGAAGTTAATGCTTGAAAACATGAATCCATACTTTTTGTCATAAAAAGTATATAGTATGAATACTATATTTTACTTTTAGGGTTTTTTTTTCTAGCTTTCCAGGAAAAGTTGTGCTTAAACCCCTCCTGCTGTCTGTATGGTGACAGTAAAGAATATATCAAGCGTACCCTGTTGTGTTGAGGAAGCTGTCTCCTGTCATGCAGTCCCGAGATGTCGCTGATGGAGTGAACCAAAATGCCGGCGTGCAGCTCCCATCAATCTGCCTCTCAAAGCCGTAGTCACTGTTTCAGTCAAAAGAGGGAAAACTGTGACTTTATTAAGATTAGTCAACATTTCTTTCGCAACTTCAAACAGAAATATTCAGTTAAGATAGAATCAATAAGTTCAGGAGAAGAAATATTCTCGCACAACAGCAACAGTTTGGTGTTTGATGTTGTATGGATCAAACATCTGAAGCAGAGAAATCATTGTGTGTTTACAAAAATTGTAATCATCCTGTTAAAGTATTACGGATTTGTCATGTTTCTTTCATCCTAGATCAGAGAAGCGCAGGCGGGAGCCAGGAAGTTTTCAGCAACAAAGTGCTGTTTATGTTGCAGTGATATTTTTAAACGCGCCAGAGACAAAAAAAGAAAATCTTGTCAGTTTTTATCATTATAAGTCAATCTGAGTGTAAATGCAACGGTGCCACAGGATTGATTGTAAATGTAGCAATTTAGAAAAAGTGCTTTTAAGATAGTATTTAACTTGACGGAAAGTATATTCATAGAAAACAATCTTAAAAACGTGGCTTTGTTTTTTGAAGAATGTAGAGTCCATAAAAATACAAGAGAAAGCTGTGAATTTTATCACACAATGCTTAAAAATCTCGTCTTCTTGTGCATTCACTTTGCTTCACACGCTCCGCCTCTGGAGACGGATAAAATGTTGAGCATTTGATTTAATGAAGCGAAGAGTATAGCTGCCGAGAGGAGAACTCACCACTCAAAATCTGCTTCTGTGCACGAGCAGGAGTCTGACATCTGAGAAATATACTGATCTCGGGCCTTGACACAACGAGCGTTTGCTCTTAGTTTTTGGAAGATTCTCTTCATTCCCATGATGCATACTTCCCCCTGTGATAAATAATGCATCATAAACATATCAGGGCTTCTTCTTTGCTCCTTTTTTTTTTGCCATCTAGCTTTTGTTGTGTAACCAAATCAAAGCAATTCTATGAGATCAATCAATGGCAGAATCTGGACTTGCATATTCCAGCAGTCTTGAAAAGCCAGTGCAACATCCACAAGGCTTTGTCAGTGATGGATAATGGTCTGGCTTTACTAATTGCTAGTCTTGTTTTATGCAAGAGACAATTTGGTTCCAGCCATATTGTAAAAAATACAAACATAAAAAAAACATAATCTCTTCTTCCAGAACCTCATTAACACATTTTACAAGGTTGAAGACAGGTGTTTGAAGAAATCTGTAAGGACTTGCAAATACACAATACAACAAGGATCTAAACACATTTCAACTAAGACACAATATGGGTTTGTAGCACAAAAACTTGCAGTATAAGTATTAAAAAAAGTGATTTAGGTAATCCTTTCTTTTCACTTTGTATCAAGGAGTCTTCATTGTGTACTTTGTGTTGGTAAAAAAGAGATCATTTAAAATGCTACTTTACTTTTGGTTGTTGGTAATTCGAAAAAGTAAGCAAGTTTATTTCGACTGCTCCCTTCTTCAGGGGGTGCCACAGCGAGCCAACTTGCAGAAAAGATTTGGCAATCGTTTAACACCGGATGCCCTTCCTGATGCAACCTGGCCACAAACCCGCAACCTCGAGATCACAAGACCACAGCACTGACCACCAAGCTACCGCAGCCTCTGGTGATTATAAAGTAACAGACTAAATTTTTAACATTTTCTGCCAACACTGCTCACAATTATTATATTGACTGAGAAAGAATTTGGGGTTGACATTTTCAGATTTTATCTCATCAAGGATAGTTTAGTGTGTGTCCTTAACCAAAATCTTAACAATTAAGGTCATGGTGAAGCAGTGGTTAGCTCTATTGCATCACATCGAGGAGGTTGCAGGTTTGTCTCCTGGCTTTTGTCTATGGAGTGTGCATGTTCTCCAAGTGTACAGGTGGGTTCTCACTGAGTGCTCCAATTTTCTCCTACAAATGCATGTTAAGTTCATTGGGAATTCTGAATTGTCCCTAGGTGAGAGTGTGAATGCTTGTTTGTCTCCATGTGTCCCTGTGATGGACTTGTCTAGAAAGTAACCCGCCTCTTACACAGTGTCTGCTGGAGATTGGAACCAACTCCCCCATGACATGGAAAGAAGTGAGTAAAGAAAATGGATAGACGGATGACTTGAGCGGGTCTTATAATGATTACTTTTAAAGCAACAACATAAAACATTCACACCACGCCATGCAACAATGATGCCCTGCAAAACAGTGAAGTAAGGAGCAACCCTTCTATAAAACATTCAAATGGTCTTTGATAGGAAGCTCAGAGACAACAAATTGGAAATTACAGTTCCCAAGGAGAACTAAGGTGTTGATTGGATTTTTACAAGACTAAAATGAACTGCACTTAATTTGACTTGAAATTAACTCGTTTATCTTCTTTGCTTACTGCAGCGTGATAGTTTGGGATTGTTAGCAGGACCTAAATGTAGGCAACGGAGCAGGATACAAATTGAACAAAAAATACAATACAATAACAACTTCAATGACCAAAGCAGATCCAAAACAAAATATGCACACAGCAAGAACTTATGAAACCAAAGCAAATCAAACTCAAAACGTTTTATGCTCAGAAATGTTATTATAAAAAAGCAGATATCTAGACGTGACCAGATGATGATGAAGCAGAAGGACCAACTTTAGAAAAATGAAAAAATTAAACTAAATGAAATGTAATGTTGTTGTTTTTTAAAAAAACTTAATAAACTGACACTATGAGACAATTTTTTTGTAACCTTGCACGATAAACATAAAAAAAAATTAAACTAAACTAAAAATTAAATAGTCAAATACATATAAACCCAATTATTTGCTATATTAACAACCAAAGTGTGTCAGACATTTCAAATGTGTATAAATCTGGTAATACTTCTCTGCAACAGGTCAAACAGAAAGATTTAGTCTTTTAATGTGACAAACAATCTCCAAAATACATAAACATGTAGTCACGGATTTAAACTTGTAGTTGTTTGGTGACACAGTTTACTTACTTTGTGCACACGTCTCATTTTCTTTATGTTGGTAATATTAGTTTAAACTGTAATGAATCAACAATATCTATCATTTTCACTATATTAGAATCAAGATGTTACTTTTTCCTTTAGGAGTTTATGAATTCACATCTTGACAGCCTTTATACACAGAAAACCTCCTAATTTAGATAATAGAAGTTGGAAATTTGTTCCAAGCTACTGCTCGATTTCAGCTCCCAGCAGAGCAGCAACTACACTGTCATGTCATGTCCTCCCCCTTGCAGCATTATATAATGATGAATGTTGGAGCAAAAATCAAACAAAATTATTGGTAAATTATTGAAATTCATTCCTCCCTTAATATTTTGCTCTTAAAAGGACTTTCCTATAAATGATTGTGCAAAATAATCAGACATAAATATCTCATTTAGTTGCATATGCAGTAAAATCAACTAAAACTCGTTTTATTAAAATGTTCTGATCGTATGATTGTTGTGTCAATATTTATCTTCATTCACCACAAAGCAATTAAGAAGACAACCCTAATTTAATTATCTTTTCTTCTTTTTTTTTTCTTTTTTTTTTAAGAAAGCTGAATTTTTAGTGAGCTAACAGCTCAAAGGAGGTTTTGTTTTAGGGTTCAAATATTTAGCAGGACAGCACAGTCTGAAAAGGTCCAGTGAGTCAGAATAACATTTAGGTATTACAAGATCTTTATACCTCGTTGTGCAACTGCCACGTGAAATAGTCTTCAGATGTGCACCGTCGTTCAAAAATGGGCCAAAAGTCGATCTTGACAAGTTGCCACTCAGATCGATGACTGAAATGACCAAATATTCTGCACAACCAAATCAGAGAAACAAGGTAAAAAATGTTCTGTATGTAGGGCATATTCTGCAGAGTCCCCAAATTAACACATTGGAAACGCATCAGCTTGTGATGATCTCTGTGTATCTTACGTCATGATGAGGATGTCCTCTCCAGGCTCCCCCAGCACCCCATCAACATAGAGCGGAAAGGAGGTGAAGCTATATTTGTCCCAGTTTCTGCCCTCATCAAAACTCAGCCTGGGGGAGAGAGACCCACCACAAACGGAGCCACATTCAGTAAGAAGAAGCCTTTGCAGGAAAGCAATTTCTCTCTCTCTCCTTGTTTTGAAGATTGAGTACAGTCTCTGAAAAGATGTGGAATGTCCTTGGAGACAGTCTTACCAAATGTGTCTAATTGGAAGAGGTGTGTGTCGGATGGCCACCAGAGATCCGCCTTGATTCAGGAAAAACACACTGTACTCTTCCTGAAAAATCTGCACAGACAGCCAGATTTATTTTAGCACACCAGAGAACATTTCTCAAGTCTACATAACGTATACACCGGTGCCAACATAAGGACGGTGCATGCTCGCACCTACAATAAACAAGCATCAACTACAGCTGTTAGTTTCACAAGATTTTCAGCTGTGAAAAAGAACAAGAAGGAAAAAGACACTGTCAAGCAAGTATTGCTTCATTGTTTATTTCTGGATTCTAATGCCACTGGCAAAAATCTGTATGCTCCCTTTGTTTTGTTTGTTTTAAAGCTCAGGAATGCACAAGGCTAGCTAGCTGTCAATGCTCACTTCTCGATTTCTTTGCAAATTTGAATGCACCACCAACAGCAGCTGAAAGGAGAGAATAGAAAGCTGGCACTGAATGTCTAAAATGAGCCCTGTTCCCATGATCTCTTTACAGATAAATCCTGTTTCAAGTTATATATATGTAGTTTATTTTAATATATGTAT